TTAGATAAAGGAAAAGATAGAATTCCTCTGGGTGTTTTTAAAGGGCAATGCGTTAGTTTTTTTGCATTTGTNNGCACGATCCAGTTGTCGAATCCACTACCGTTATGAGAAATTAATATTAATCTCTTTCTATCATATTGACCTAAATATTTCAACATTTGATCTATACAATCTGTACCTACAAATAGTTCTACTACATTCATTAGTTTATCATAAAATTCTTCTGGAACATTATCAGTAGGATTTATATTTGGAAAGATATTTTTTATTGTTTCTAACTTTTTTCTTAGTTTTTCTAAATTAATTAAGGTGCAGGCATAAGGAATTGCTCTTCGCGTGTCTTTTTCTGAATACGTTTCGCAATCCCAAGCGAATAACGCATCATCGCTCATACTTGAAAGCACGTTTAGTTTGAGGGGTGAAACCTGTGTTACTGCGTTATCGTCTCTACACGTTTTCCACACCTGTTCGTAATTGTCTTCTATTTCCTGAATTCCCAAACTTTTTTGGCTTCTTCTAATCAGACAGAAATGCGAGTTGTGTAAGTAAAAAACCCAATCTAATTCATCGTGAACGTCTCTGGGATGAAAATGTCTGTTTTTGGGATTATAAATTTGAAACGAAGTGTTGAATTTCTTGTTGAATTCCTTCATTCTAGCACAAGTCATCACTCCTTTTCTATTTGCTTTTGAAAACCCGTTGATGTATTCTTGAAATTCTCTCGTGTAGTCTTCGTTTAAAACACGATTGACGCATTTGATAAAACAATGACCATCTGTAGGTATGTAACAATTTTCGCCTTCGTATTCATTGATCTTTTTTAGTAGATCAGTTCCTCCTCTACCAACTCTCGATCTTTTTATTTCTTGGAAATTGTCTTTCATTAAAATTATTTTTCCTGTAAAATACCAATCGGAAGCATCGGATTTTTCGTCCATATTTGAAAAGATATTGTGAAAAGTTTTGGCATTGAAACCGAGGAGTGACATGTATTGTCTGTGATTCCCTTCCTCGAGTATCTCTCCATCTATTTTAATTTGTCCTTTGAATGTTTTAAATTTATCAGAGATAGCCTTGAAAATAGGGCGTTTTCTATCAATGTTTCATCGTGTTCAATTTTATTCATATTTTTTTAAGTATATATTTTTGATTATTTCTTTATTTTGACCGCTGATATTTCTGTATGGAATTTGTCCAAAATTTCATTGAATTCTTGTAATTCTTCAACTGTTATGTTCTTGTCTTCTCTCGATCTTTCGAAAAAGATGTACAATTGATTAAGATACATATTCAAGATATCCGTTTTCTTTTTATAATGAGCTTTCTTTTTGCTCGTGAAACCTAAAGTGATGAGACCGCAAGAGGTCGTTTGAACGGCTGTTAATGCAGCCAATACGGTTGGGACGATGACCGGAAGCATTAATCCACCAGTCACGGCCGTTGCCACCGTTACTCCTACCGTTAGAACTGTGCTCGCTGTTTTGAAAAAAGAATCGATTCTACTCCATGTTTTCCTGCATGTATTGCACTGTCTCAACTTTATTTTCAACTCTTCTTGTTTGTCTATCATGTATTGTCTGCTTTCGAGTTCCATTTTTTAAGTCGTTAAATTAAGTGAATTTCCGACAAAAGAAACCACGGAATATCGTATAGAACGTTGTTGTTTGGCCTAGAATTATTATATTTGCGGGTATTAAAAGTAAAAACATTTACGCGTACTAACGACATTTCTTTTTTCGTATGGTCCTCTTTAAGATGATAGGAATATTTTCTTTTTTCTTTTTCGATGTTTATCTTGGCTCTAAAAATATAACCACCAGCATTAAGGATGGAGTCGGAACCTTCGGCAAACGATAAATGCACTATAAACTCTCTTTCTTGTTGACTTTTATGAACATCGATCGAGGTGTATTTTTCACCTAAAGCGAAATACAGTTTTACGTATTCAAAGTCTGTTGTTCGTAAAAACTCGAGACTGCTCGATTCTATTTTTCCGTGTACGTGTAAGCGTCGTGGAACTTTGACAATGTTGGTTGATGGTGGATTTTCCGTCTCCAATATCACATCTAAATCTTTGATTCCAATGTTATCCTTATCATTTTCTACTTCCATTTTAAAGGTGTCTACATATTTACCATTTTTCGTTTCAATTTCCTGATCCCTTTTATCAATCAAACGTATATTCTCTTCCAAATTACCATCATTGAATAATGAAATATGTTTGACGGCATTACCGGTTTGTTTGAAGACTACTTTATTGACTTTAACCTTCATGGGAAACTCTATTTGAATCAGACAATTACCTCGAAAAGAAAACTCTTGCGTTTCGCCGATATCGAATACGTTTTTAGGTTCTCCGTATGCGAGAGAACCCACTTTTATTTCTGCTTTGAATCCGTATTTGTTTGATTTATAAATTTGGTCTTTTCTATCGAAGACAGTGTCACTTTCGAATGGTAGATTGAAATAATACGATTTGTCCGTGACAATAGCTTCTAATTTGGTCAACTTTCTCTCTTGTCTAAAAAAATCGTCATGAATTCTAGATACCAAAAGATTGACCTGTTCTTTAATATAATTTTTCATATCATCTCGAAATTTATTTTGAAGAAAGTTTTTAATCACACCCACTTCTTTTTCTAATTCGTCCGTGATTTTAGTATCCAAAGCAGTCAATTGTCGTTTCAACGTATCTTTGTCAATGGGAAGTGTGTTAATTATATCTTGAACATCTGATTTTTGCTTCGCGATCTTTTCGTTCAAATTGGATATCGAATTTTGTAACTCGGTTTTGTCCGCGGTCTTGTCTAGTTCTGCTAGCAATTCGCCAAGTTTTCTTTCCAAAGCGGTTAGTTTTCGTTTCAATCTATCCTCGTTTACATTTGGGTTGTCTATTAAACGTTGGACGTCTATTTTTACCTTCGTAATCTTATCGTCTAATATAGATATTAAATTTTGCAACTGACTTGTTTTATCCACTTGAATAAGACGTTTCAAACTCGTTAACTCTTGTTGTAGTTTGGGTTCGTCCACAAGATTTTTAATATTTCGTCTGAGGTATCTTTTCACGTCATTTATTCTATTTTCAACATGGTCCTTATCTATTTGAATTGCGTTTATTTGATCCAGTAAATATTTTTTGTTCACGGCATCGTTATCGTTTCCTGGAAACCTTAAAATAGTTATTTTGAAATTGTTCATATCGATATCCCCTTGTAAGGTGTCTCTGATTTGATCCACGAAAAAAGGTTTCGCTTTGTTTATAAACGTCGTCATGGGATTTTTAGATTCTAGAGGTAAAGACCCTAATCCAAACTTGTTTGCCATTTTTATTGAGTTAAATTTATTATAATTTCTTCAAACTTTTCTCCCAAACTCAACCGATATAAAACCCAAAGCGACAGCTGTCCACACAGCTTTTGTCCTGGCATTTGAATTTGAAACGTAGAACATTTGATTGGTTTGCTAGTCAATTTCGTTATCTCTTCTGTCGGTTCTATACCGAAAGAATCAAAGAAATAAAAGTTATTCGAAGAATCTTTGTGTAAAGCAGAGTGATGAACTCCTTTTTGATCCGAAGTATGAATGTTTGTGGTCGTGTCTTTTCCGTATTTATCGAGAAATGCATTCATTTTTTAAGTTGATTTTTTTTAGGTGTTTTTCGAAGAAGGGGGTAAGTATTGCTAAAGACCCAATTGACGAAATATATACGTAGTTTGTGTTTGAAAAAACTTGTATAACATTCTGATAAAACACATTCAATAATATTTTGAAGATAAATTTAAATTTAAATTTAAAAAATCTTAATTTAAGAGAGCGTAAATGCTTGTCGACATCTAAATTTCTTAACCTTTCATCTAAGTCTTCATTTTCGAGATTCATTTTTAAAAGTCAGTTTTTTGTGTTCATTTTGATAAAACCTTCCTATGATTTGTTCTTTGTCTTGATCGATCAATTCATACGTAGGAGGTGATGTGTTGTTTACTTTATCAACGATGAATATCTCGTTAGTCCAATAGCCGACGTAACCTTTCTGAAACAATGATTTATATTTAAAAATACGAACTCGATCTCCAACTTTGAATTTGGGTTTAATATTCAAATTGCTAATCTCGTTTTCAAAGTTGTTTCGAGTGTTGACGGACTTTATGATATTCGGGTTATTAGAGGCTTGCGATGGCGTCACACCTATAGACGAATGTATTTTGTTATTGTATTCGTCGACAACAACTGGTAATATTTTAAGCCATTTTTGAGATTTCAATTACGTGAATTTTCTTGAATAATTTGCTTTTAAGAGTCCTGTTGAATCTTTCTATCACTACGGCCTTACGTTCGTTATGCGTGCTGTAAATTTCAAACCCCAGAGATTTCACATTTCTGTTGTAGAATTCGCTTCCTTTATCAACCCACAACTTTAGGGGTCGTCTGTCGGATTGTTTCATTATGGTTTCGAATGCTTGTTTGACAGTCAGACCCGATTTGTTTTTCAAGGGAAAGACCCAAGCGTATCTCGTGTATATGTCGATCACCGTCAAACAATACTTGTACCCTCTCTCGACTGGCATGTTGATTAAATCGGCTGACCAAATTTCATCTTTATCAAAAACTTTGACTTTGAGGTAATGTTTGTTTTTTCGAAATTCTTTGTGAATCTCGTCTGCTATGCCCATACCCAATTTCAATTTTGCCTTCAAGAGTTTTATGACAAGAGCCCTCTGTAATTTCTCTTTGAAAGTGGGATTGGGAATATTTTCGAGTTCGTCTATCATTTGTTTGTCTGCTTGGTGTCTGAATGTTACGTCTTTGTTTCGTGTTTGAGCGCTGCTGCGTCAACTCTATTAACGGGTTCTTCCCCTGGTTTGGGATTATCATAAACGCAGATCTAACCTAGTGCCTGGACCTGTATAATTGTGCCCTGGGAGATGTTTTTCTCCGGGATATTTTGCCCATGGGAATCCAGGAAGAGAACCCAATGACTTTTGAATGTCTCCCGCACCGAAATACGTTTTAGGAGGATGGACATTTATTAAAGACATATTTGTTCAATAAACACCATATATTTTTAATACGAAAGATTTAATACAAGGAGGAAATTTGTTGTTTGAGACAAAGTTGGCCACTTTGGGGATGAGAGATGTTAGCGCAGAGAAGAAACCGTCTCCTTCAAATTTTTTTTTTCATGTTTTAAAATTAAAGACATTTTTAATGCGGTTATTTTATACTGTATTTTTATTAGTGATTCTTGTCTGTGGTTTGGGGTAATTTATATGGAGTCTGTTATAATACAGTTTGGGGAGTCTGTTATAATACATTTTTAACAGTTTTGGGAGTCTGTTATAATACATTTTTTAACAGTTTGTGGAAGTCTGTTATAATACATTTTAACAGTTGTGTCTTTTCGGATATGACGCATTGAAAAAACCGCGCATGCACAGAAGTGAAATGCGTCATATCCGAAAAGACATATACCTATCATCTCAAAAACCGGATCAAACTGGATGCGCTATATCAGAAAACACATATACTACTAGAATCCGCAGACCCTACAAACAAGAATCCGCAGACCTATACCTAAAAGCTGCCGTTTTTTTTAATTTTCACCCTTTCAAAAATGAAATGAATGGAGTTTTACTTCCTACTTTTCTGCACCATGTGGACTAATGAAGACAAGTAACGCCATGCAGGGTGCAATGAGTTAAATTTTGCCAGGTCAGCGGCATTAGCCTGCTCTTTTTCGAATTCCAACTGTCAAAGGATCTTCAGCTGCATAGCCTGTAGCACACGAGGCCTCGGTTTATTGTTCCATCCGAACGACTAAACGCTTTTTCATTGTCAGTCCCTCTTACCAACATCACTGACAGGGGAAAACCCTGTTGAAAAATCCGAAGATATTATCTGCGCATTCTAGTTGGGTCTGCCGAATATAGTATAGGGG